CATAACAAATACATAAATAGATAGTACGACAGTTAACCTAAGAATTTAAAATTCTATGGTTGAGAAAGTAAAAAAAAGTACAACAAAGGATTTCTTTCTTTGTGAGATAACAATAGTGTTAATATAACTGAAACTTGCACTACCAATCCATTGGTAGTCATAATTTTAAAATAGTTTTGCAACTAAATGAGGTAGATATGATGGCAGATCAGGAACCAGTGGGCACCAAGGGGGAATAGAGCTATCCTCCAGGAAAATCCTCATCCATGGATAACTWAATGCACCCTTGGTACAACCAGCCCCTAGGGATGTATGCAGGCTGGTCAAGTGTGCTTTGAAATATGAGATCCCTAATCAAAGATCCTGAATCTCTCATTGACATCGACAACATGCATGTCAATTCGGATCAGTCATTTCTTGTCTGGAACTTATGATTATTATACAACAATTATCTGAGAAAACGCTATAAATACATCTTTCAAGTGCTTCACACTTCTGGACCCCTAATAAAATGTTAAGGATACAATACTCATTGAACAGACTATCAAAAGTATTCCTCATGAATACAATATGACAGACTCCAGATAACTTTGAAAAATCTACAGCACTTTTGAAATGAATTGTAGTCAAGGTCTTATCTCAATTTGATGTCTTCCATAGCATTAAATCCAGGTGAAATTCTATAACAATGCTAACTAAACAATGTCATATCACAGTCATAAGAAATCTTCTCTTATGATCACATGCAGACTTAAACACAAACATAAATCGTGAAAACAGAAACTTATTTGCCTGATTGAGGTTTTATAAAAAAAAAACACTAAAAATAAATGTGATTTCTCAACAAACAAAAGGATACTCTCCACCAGGAATAAGCTGTTGAATAAACAATTAAACAGGTATTAAAATATAATTGTCTTTGCATGGTTACAATATATGGAAAATTTCTAAAAAAGGTTTTATTAAATTTCTTCTTCTGCCAGTTAAACAGCCTGATAAATAGTCGTACCATAACTTTATAAACCTTAGGTCAGTTTTTATAAATATTTCACAATTATACACTGGTTAATGGCAGGGCATTTCTGAAAAGGTAGTATTCTATTTTAGCCTTAAGAACAACAACAACAAAATGTCCACTTACCATGGTTATGTTATTGCCATTCAGTAATATCTGGTCTAGTTTGGTTATACGTTGTCCTTCTGGGGTGTTTTCACTATAGTTGTAGTTATGATAGTAAGTACATAGCTTGGTGTAAACATWAAATATGGGCACCATAACACAAAACATTACCAAACGTTGCACAATAATTCATGATAGTTTGGTTCAGCACTGACACAAAAAAGTATAACTTACTATTCTGTTACATCTTCAAGTACCATATCTAATTAAGTTAGTGAAGGAAAAAACAACAACATATATTTACACGAAAAAGAAGATTATTGTCATGAGCATCAATCAAGCAGCGTTTCAACAATGTACCATGTTTATATCTGTCTGATGATAGAGTGAATTTGCAATGCCTTATGTGGGGTCTTTACATGGATATAAGCTTATAATAAGCTTATCTGTTGAAATTAATTTTATATGCAAATGTTAATTAATTTTCAAAGGATACTGACATAGTCATCAAAACCAAGTAAAGTTCCAACAATTTCTTTATCACTTTTCATAACGATGTGAATCCGTGATCCTATGCATTTGTCAATAAGCTCTGATACAGATAAAAGCAAATGTCAGATTTCACAATCACGTGTTCGACATTCTATAAATTCAAAACGAAAACACTTCAACACTTAATGATTACTGTTAGAAATTATAGCTTTCCATAATGCAAAAAGATATGATTTTACCAAAAAGTAACCTTTTATATTACCACAAATAACCATACTCACCAAGAGGTAAAAGTTGTGGAGTCTCGGTCGCCATTTTGATTCTAATGTGAAGGCCTGGCAACTAAGTAATAATTGATTTAGGAGGGTAGGGAGCGAACAGAGGAACCTAATTCTTTTTACATTAATTTTATTTCTTAAGAGCATTTATTTATCTTGAAACTGAAAATTACAATTKCTAATTTTGCTATGGAAATTCAATAATTGATGGCATGCCTACCTGTTTCTTTTAAAACGTTATACTCAATTGGGTTGCCTGTGTATTATCGGGGATCATGAGATGTCATGTGATCTAGGAGAGGAGTGTGGTTTTGATCGGGTTCTTGGTTCTTACGTTTGTGAACAGTGTTTCGTATTATAAAGCCCATTCAACATGGGTTCCTTATTCAGGTCTGAGGAAATGACCTTAGCCCAACTCTATCTACAATCCGAGGCAACATATGCTTGCGTTAGCGAACTAGGTGAATTGGTAAGTGACGAATCTTTGGCCTTCCTCGGCCGCCATCTTGGAAGCTTCCCAATGAAATRTGACTAATTTCTTTTCTTTCTCAAAATTCAGGGTCTTGTGCAGTTCAGAGATGTGAGTATCTAACACATCCTTAATTCTTTTTACATTTTTTCTCATATATATATATTGAATTTTTGTGTGGAACTGGGAGTTTGGGTGTTAAAAATGCCATACACTTTTCTTCCACCAGCTAAACCCAGATGTGAACGCTTTCCAAAGGAAATTCGTAAATGAAGTGAGAAGATGCGAGGAAATGGAACGTAAACTTAGTAAGTAAAGCTTTAATGTTATAGGGAAAGAAACAACGGATAGAATTGATAATAAACATGGTGGAATTTCCAGTTGTCACAAATAGAGGGTGGTATTTTTTTTATTTCTGGGGTAGCTCTATGGTAGATCTAAAGTATTAAAAAAATACTAATTATGCTTATTTCTTTTGGTTTCTATTGCCTAATCAATACTATTTATTAGTAATTAATGTTATTTGTTTCACAGGTTAAGTGTGTCTACTCTAATGATCGTTTAATTAATATTCAACTAAAAAAAACTATTAATGTTTTCTAGGATTTTTACAAAAAGAGATAGAAAAAGCTGAGATTGTAGTGGTAGACAATGGAGAGAATCCAGAAGCTCCACATCCAAGGGAAATGATTGATTTGGAGGTWAGAAAAACTGCATTTTGTTTGGTGATTTGCTCGATGGCATCATATACTACCAAGACCAGAATGCTTTTGCATCAATTTTTTGTTGTATCATTAGTTGCAAGGGAATGAACTCTGTATTTTTATTCTCATTCAAACTTTAAACCTTCTGGAGAGTARTAGAACAAATTGGGACTAAAAACATTGCAAAAGAAACTAGGCGAAGCATTCTGGTATTGGTAGTTTGAACACCATCCCAATGAGAAGTTTCTCTCTGATTTGGCTACACCACTGCTTACATCTTCTCCATATTCCTCATGAATAAGCATCAACATGATTAACAACTTGATTTTCTTTTCTTGTAGGCTCAACTTGAACAGCTTGAAAATGAAATGAAAGACAGCAATGCCAATTACGAGGCTCTGATGAGGAGTTTTCTTGAACTGACAGAACTAAAGCACATCTTGAAAAAGACGCAAACCTTCTTTGAAGAGGTAAAWWTTTTATATACAACACGTTTAATTTAAAATTTGGTGAGTAATTAACTAAAATCAGCCAAAATTCTTGGAGCTGCTGTAAGCTACATCTAAAGGGTAACAAAGAAATTTAAATGTTTTTTTATTTTTGATAAAATTGATTTAAAGTTGCTTTTTTTAAATTTTTTTTAACCAGATTATAAGTGCTATAATTTTTTTTCATACTAGTAAGTCTATGTCGTTGATTGAAAACCTGTATGTGTATAATAAACACATGGGTATACAGTGCTCTTGTTAAAGATATTTTTAAATATTTGATTTTATATTAAATGTATTATTTTTTGCCTATGTGAATTGAGCTTCAGGTACTCATCTGAATGACTGCAGGCTTTTTTAACAGACTGGCTAAATATCAGCATATCAGGGAGAGCCATAGTACAATATACACATAGAATTAACTGTAAAAGAATAGTTTAAAACGTGCAAGTTAAAACTAAGTTCACATCCTTTATATCATTTTTTCCTATAAGCAGAATCAATGATAACATAAAAGCATCATAATTCATACACATAAAAGCATTAAAATTCTATGCTTACGTGTAGAAAATTCTCACTGATGATTTCTTAAACTAGTTTTGTATAAATTGATTAAAATAACTGTAAAACTCGTACATATGCATTCGATAATGCTGTTTTACCAGGCTGAACACCATGTACATCAACAACAGATTCATGATCCAAACAAAACAGATGATACTGCTTTTCTTTTGGGTGAAGAACCAAAGCCGTCTCCAGGCACTCAATTAGGGTAAGTTGACCTTCSCAYTTGTCAACGTRTCATTTGCTSTAATGTACACCATTTTAATGATTAAATGAGATTTTTTGCCTAGTCTTTTACATGATGCACTTTTAGTGTAGTGGAATACTCAGGGGATTCATAAAAAGAAGAAAAAAATGTATGTTGTGAAAAAAGACAGAAGAATGTACTGATAGAAGAGAATGGTGGAAGAAGTTTGAGAATCAGACAACAATCTCTTTATCTTAAAACACAGTCAATTAACATGCATGCATTCCCAGTTCTTTATTAATTAGGAAGCTAATTAAAGAATTATTGCAAGTTTTATATTGTACCTTTGGATATGGTAATGTTTTGTTTATAACTGGATATTGTTTTGTGATGATAGATTTGTGACTGGTGTGATAGCTAGAGAAAAAGTGCCYTCATTTGAACGTCTTCTATGGAGAGCTTGCCGTGGCAATGTGTTCTTCAAGCAGACTGAGATTGAAGTTCCACTTGAAGATCCAAGTACTGGTGACCAAGTCAATAAGAGTGTTTTCATCATATTCTTCCAAGGAGACCAACTCAAGTCTAGAGTCAGGAAGATCTGTGAAGGGTACGTAAACATGGATTGCTATGCTATTTTGTTATCRATATTGTTGTTTTGTTTATGTTGTTGTTATTTAGCCTTTTGTGTATAATGTGACTATTGTAAATTTTCAATTCTCTTAACCATCTCAAAACAAATGATTGATGGTCTTTGGGGTATAAAAAAAAATGATCTAAATCAAAGCTTGAATATATCAAATATTGTTTTTATCAATGATTTAGCTTTTTACTACATTTGATATCATTGTAATAATTACAATATTTTATGTAATTTAGTTTCCGTGCCAGTCTTTACCCATGTCCTGAAACTGCTGCAGAAAGAAGAGAAGTTGCCATTGGTGTTGAGACAAGGATAGAAGACCTTCAAAATGTAAAGTCAAATTAATTTTACAAGGGATAATAAATTTTGGCTTTGTAAATGCGCATTTATATAATGTTATCATCAGCGTTACTCAACAGAGAAAACTGAATAGTGTGTGAGAAAGGGAATGAAGTCAATTAGATAAATGCTAATATACAGTGTACAAAACAGAAAGAAATGATCATTAGTTAACAGAGTTTTGTCAATTCCAAGCTTCTACTTCACTCATGTTTTTTGTTGTTGTTKGAATGTAGGTGTTAGGCCAAACCAAAGACCATAGGCATAGACTTCTCGTCACTGTGTCAAACAACATCAATCAATGGTTCATCAAGGTACACATAATCAAGTTAATCTGTCTAGAATAGCGCTGCGCACTCGATCTAAAAATWGATATGBATAAATTAACCCCCGCAGTGATTCGGACAAACAAAGCCAACTTTYACAGTCAAGTATTGTAGCTAAGTAAAGATGGTATAAAAAAAACGCTTTTTTCGCCTTGAAATGGTCRTTATGAAGCACTGCTGTTGGGGGCAGTGTAGAAACGACTCAAGATATCTTGATAAGYTTCCTAGATCGTCAAAAGGAGTAGCAGATTCTGGAGAAAAGATATTTTTGCYGTTCMCAAAGCCGTACCACGATCTTGATAAGTAAATGCCAAAGATAGATGAATGCATGCTCTCGTAAAGACTAAAACGGTTAAAAACATCACCAAGAACACTTATATTTGTGTAGAACATTGGYCTGGAGAACAAGGACCTACTGAAAATTTTGCAGATCCGCTATWAGCGAACTATTCGTCCATTGAAGTGACGAAGGCTAGCTGAAAGAGCTAAAAAAAAGTTGCTAATTCAGAAATTATTTCAATTTTATTTTCATGTCAATTCACAAATCAATAAATTTATGATAAAATTGTTTTAAAACATTTAAAATGAAATGTTTTAGGTAAAGAAGATTAAGGCCATTTATCATACAATGAACATGTTCAACTTGGATGTAACTCAAAAGTGTTTGATTGCTGAGTGTTGGTGTCCAGTTGCTGACCTACCACAGATACAAGATGCTCTGAAAAGAGGAACTGTAAGTACCTATTCTATACCGTATCTGTTCTGGCTCTTTTTTTTTTTCCTTTATACAGCTATGTTGAGCAAAAATCAAAGCAAATCATGGTTGATAATTTGGTTAATTAACAAATATGATGTGTTTTTTAAAACTAGGAGCGWAGTGGTGCAAGTGTTCCATCCATTTTAAACCGCATGACCACCAAACAAGAACCKCCAACTTTCAACAGAACTGACAAACTGACTTCAGGTTTTCAGGCTATTGTTGACTCGTATGGTGTGGCAAATTATCAAGAAGTCAACCCAGGTAT